GGAAAGCTTTTTAAATTAAATTTTATACAAGTAAATAGTGGGGTTCCATTTTGCTATATAGATTTATTGTAAATTGATCCCCCTATAGAAGCCAAAACAAATATGTTCATATGATGTGGTTTCTTAAAATTTTTCAAAATTAAAATTTAGTTTTTAAATTTGAAATCTGAAGTCCTTAATTTATAGCAATATATGAAAAAAGAAATTCCACATTATGAATTTTCAAAACTTTTTTTTTTTTTTATTTTATTTTCTTACATTTTAAGTAATTACATGGTATGAGCATATTTCATTTTGTCTTTCTTAACAAAGTGGACTCTCCAATAAACTTTAAGAAAATTTAATAACAAATTTAAAAAAAAAAAAAAAAATGATCTGGAGTACTTAATATATAGCAATACCTTTAAAAGATTCTTATTGCAGTGCCTATTGTACATTCTACCCAAGTTTTTTTTCTAGATGGTTTCCTAGAATATTCTAAGTCGTTGTTAATATTGTTGGAATGATGGTATGATGTCTTCAGCTGTACTGCAAGATTATAGGAATGATTAATGATCACTTAAGGATTACTCTCATGCACTTGATAGATCTCTAAGTATCAGGAAGCAACAGTTACATGTCAAGCAGTCGGCAAAACACTGTCTGCAGTAGTGTAGGGCATAAAAAGTACTGCTTCTAAAATTACTGTTTACTAAGGAGCATATATGGAAGCCAGGAGTGGAAATAATATTCTTCAGTTTGATGAGACCAAGTTAGTTATTTTAGTTTACATTATCCGGTTTAAATATATATTTTTATAATTTTACTTAAATTTGTTAAAACGTTTGCTCATATTTACTACTATAAAGATAAAACACTTTTTTTTTTTTTTTTTTTTTTTTAACAATGTTCACCCTGTACAAGGCCCAAGAGTGACTGAAGGTAGAGGGTTACTGATGTAATGGAATAACCTGTCACCCCCATGAGTGACTACACTACAGGTAATAACTGCCTATAAGTATCTGTAAGTCAACTGACTACAGAGACTAGCTGGGATCTGTTCCAGCTAGATGGTCGAACTCTTTGCCTTTCAGGCAGAGAGGAACCTGTACAAGGCTCCGCTGAAGGGCAGTCTCTCGTTCAGGGAGGTTGACTGATCCTGAACCTGTTTATATGGGTTTGAAAGAGAATATTTTTGGTTGAGCCTATGGGCACGGACAACCCACGTTAAACAAGCCTTGTGCCACATGCAACCCTTGTGGGGGGGTAGCTAAATATACTAGCTGGGATCTGTTGAGTACAACTCGGACTTACATGAGAACTACCGACCTTCGAATAGTAGCACGCACTACTGGATTGACTTGTGATGACCTTCTGCATAACTGTTACCTTTATTCTTATTTTATGCTCTGGGTTTTTTCAAGTATATATTCCTATTAGCACAGAATATAACAGTTACAGAGTAAGAAACACAGGTTATATGGATATGTAGGGAAGATAATGGACAGTTAAGATTGTAGTGATTGGAGAAGCATTCTCTTGGAGGTTGCTTCCACAAAGCAACAGTTCGTGGGAAGAGGCTTCTTGAGTGGAACTTAGGTTTTTCCAATGGAATATGAATGGAATGAGGGTTGTTTGCTCCAATGTACATTGGATGGTGGGTCTTAAACTACATCCCTTAGTTCCATGTCTATCTAAATGGGGTTTACTTTTGATATAAATACTATATAGATAGTTTTTTTTTTTTTTTTTTTTTTTTTGTAGTGTGCATTGAGTGCTTATTTTCCCTACTGTATATACAAGCCTCATAAATAACATTTTACATTAAAATACTCACCTGTGAGCAAAATATAATAATATCATTCAAAGTGTACAGGTGGCAATATTTCTTGGAACAGTTAATGTGCTGATAGAAGTGTTGTCTCTCTAAAAGCTGTGGTTAGGGTCTGAGAGATGATCATTATCATATGGCTGAAGCTTCTAAAAGTCTGAGATGATATCAAATATAAATTTTAAAAAATCTCAAATAGTTAAGGACTTTTTTGTCTTGACTATGATGTATAATTTTATGAAAATTTCTATGAATTTGTGATGAGAAGAATTTTGCTTAAAGACACTGTTCAACGTTTATGTGGCCAGCGAGGCTGCTCTGTGACAGAGTGGGTTAAAGCACATCAGATCTAACAAATAGTTTCTTTGAAAAGTCTAAATGTTGTTGCATTTCATAGGTGATGCAGGAAAGCTGCATCAAATGTAATATAAAGATGAGGATGTTGGTCTACATATGTCATTCAGTCTTACATTCGAGAAAATTCGGTGAGATATTGAATTATTAAATTAATAATTACTGATTTGTATATCAATAATAAATACAAAAGAACAAATTTTTCATTTTTTTTATTTTTTTTATTACTGTCTTTAGACGTGCACGTAATAGCAAAATTTCCTCTGTATATACATTTATGTATATGAGTGTATCAATATGTTTTGTCCCTGATGACAACATTGATTTGACATATTGTGTCAGAGGTTGTTATAATTGCCATTCTGACTCTGATGGGTACTGGTTAACCTTATATCCTTGCCCTAGGGCAATCTCCTGTCAGTATTATATCTTTTTTTTATTATTTTTTTATTTTATTTCATGTGAAGATCACAAATCAGTTCTTGAAATGTAAATGTGTGCAGCCACCTTTCCTTTGAGATTTGGCTCTGTGGTTATTGTTAATGATGTTGGCAAGAAAAGAACAAGTTATCAGTGCCAATTGAGGCGGAGCATCTCGTTCTTTGCTTCCTGCTGTCATGTTTGATAATTCAACTAGCAAACTTTTTTTATTTTTATATAAAACTGGGAGCTTGTTTTGAATGCTTCAAGATCTTATCCAGCTGACATACCATCGTCAAGGTGCCGAGTATTCACATATGCTTGCAATGGAAGAAATTTTGTAGGTGGGTGGTTGATGTTTGGCTTCCATATCTGTTTCAGGCTCTCAATTTAAGTGTATTTTTTTTCTTTTTCTGACATTCTCATAACCACATCAGCTGAACATTAGTCTAAAGAAGAATAAATATAAAACTTGTATCAAGACGTTTGTCCAACTTTCAATGAGAATCAGTCTCCTCATAGATGAAGAAGAGACTTGAAGCAACAGAAATGTGGTTCTGCAGAATGCTGTTCAGAGCACCCTGGACCATACATGTGAGCAACAACAAAGTTCTGGAGGAGATGAAAACAAAAAGGACACATGCTTAACATGAGGAAGAGACAATTGAAATTTCTTAGGCACAAGATGAGGAAAGTAGGCTTGGAAAATTTGCTAATCACAAGGCAAATTGAAGGCAAGAGGAACACAGGAAAACCACACATAACTTATCTGGAGAGCTTGACTAAATGGATGGTGGACCAGGGTTTGGGAGAGATAGTAAAAAGACAAAATTTACTAAGAGCTACAAAGGACAGGAAAATGGCATGGCATATAGAAAAATGATGAGTACAATGTTGTATGATCTTTATTAGGATAAGTATCATTGTGGTATTTTTATCTTCCATAGAAGTCTTGCAGAAATATAATGAGAAACTCAGAGTTGATCTTACAGAACACATTTGACTGTTCATTGTTATATGTAATCAAAACACTTTCATGTAAGGATGTGGCAATCATTGCACTCCACAACTTCCTATCTCTTGTAGCTCTTATTAACATTTGTCTTTTTGCTATCCTTTCCTATAAGTAAAAAAATTAACAAAATCAATGGATTACTGACTGTTATTGAGAAGAAGGGTCACTATATTAAAATGTAAAAGATTCAAAGACTTATCATATGTGTTTATTTGTTCTATTATAGGTGTCGATTAATTTTTAATAAGTTTATTACCTTTTTATTGAAGTAAAATGTGATTATTTGGTTTTGCCTAATAATTTCAGACGGCAGTTTTTAAGAATACATCAAATAACTTCAATAAAACATATTGATACTACATAAAATTATAACTCAGGCTTTGTTTTGACATCTAAATTGATTGTTTAAAATTTGACAATTTTTTTTTTTTTTTTTTTTTTCAAACCAAATTTGAATTATTGAAGATTATAATTTGCTTAATAACTTCAGACAGGGTGTATATGAAAAATAATAATCAAAATGGTTTCAAAGGGCTGTTATGTAGCTTTCATTATTACGTTAATGTTACAGTTGATTCATTCTACAACTTTCCTTTAGGTCTACTGTCCAAATATGACACCTGCTTGCATTGGACTCAGCACTGGTAGGAGTGTCACTAAATTTCAAGATAGCAAATGAATTTTAGAATTTTATCAGTATATCATTGAATCCTCAGCATACACGTACTGTATGTTTCCAAATATAATGACTAGCATAACTTATTGCCATTTAACTTTATTGATTCCTTATTCTTTTTTATACATGCAGATACACTTCTATTCATTTGGTGCTAAACAAAGAAATCCACACTCACCTGATTTAATATATTCCCCATCTATTATCTTGATATAATTCCCTCTATGATTTTTTTTTTAAGCATTTCACCCCAAGCAAAGCGGGAAGCCACTAGGATGCAAGGGGTTGCCATACATGATGTTTCTCCTTCTCCTTTGTTATTGACTTACATTTTTTGAGTCTGAATTTATTGACACGACTTATTGCTTTTTTATTTTCTCTATTATCAAAATGACTAACTCCAGCAATGAAGTTGGTGAAAAGTGATTTGAAAATCAACTTGATATCTAAAAAATCTTTTCATTTAGACAATAAATCCTCTAACATATTGTTGGTCTACTGTAGCTATATACTTGGTCTCCCATGCATTTTATTTAATTTTGTCCCTTGTGTTCAACGTATTTTCATACTTGAATTCTCTCTTTGCTTTTGAGTCTTTTGTAAAATTTTTCTCATTTTGATGTTTGTCTTTTGTTCATTAATTTTCAATATTTTTTCTCTTTCTCTCTCTCTCATTTTTCTTAATTAATATTTAAATTAATTAAATTTTCATTCTTTTTGTTTAGGTTGATAGTTTTTCATTTGGAATGTTTATTTATGAACTGGTTACTTGCAAGCCACCATTATGGGGAGAATCTCACGTCAATAACTTTATCTGCCAGGGAGGAAGACCCAAAATAACACTTGAGGTAAGGTTGCCAAATTTTTTTTTTTTGCTTTAATTTTATGAAAAAAAGATGTAATTAATGTATATTTTAGAAATTAAAAAAATACTAGAGTACGTAACATTATATGCAAGGACTTTTTTTAAACAATGAATAAAGCTTTTTAGCTTTAGGGAATGCTCATAATAGATCCAGAAAATATGCTCCAAAGGTATTTATTTATCTTTCCATTTGGTGATTCCATTACTGACAATTTTTACTTAAGTAAATATGTTTTACAAAACATACATATGACACCTGCTTGCATTGGACGCAGCACTGGTAGGAGTGTCACTAAATTTCAAGATAGCAAACGAATTTTAGAATTTTATCAGAATATCATTGAATCCTCAGCATACACTTACTGTATCCAGGTTAAAATCATCTTAAAATGTCTCTGCCCAAACTCTTCTTCAGTATCTCTGAGTAAAAGTCTAATGAATTGTTGTCAGCATGAATCCAAGGGAACCCTTTTTGATATACTTAACTAACTTTATAGCATAAAAGTATTCTCTTGTCACTGAAAGAAATATGCAAATGTGTCATTCGGTTGGGGAAACATGTAGAAAAAAAATAACAACTTTGTATCATTTTCTCAGTATCAGACCCACTCCACTTTTTTTTTTTTTTTTTTTTTTTTAAAGTGATTAAGTGTTGGGTACTAAAATTCATATGCCTTATTTTTTGAATTAGGTATCCTTTCCTGTATAAAGTCAATGCAATAAAGATACTTTGAATATAACTTCCACCTTAAACTTGTCAACAGGTATGGTCCTCCCATGCAACAAGTCATAATGGACAATATTTGTCACCATTTTAAACACTACGAGATTTATTAATTAGGTTTGTAGCAGTTGTAAGTTTTATGGGATTGAGGTATTGACTCAATGTCCAATTTTCATCTTTTCTTAAACAAACAGGTATGACTGTCAAACTCTAGGTTGTTTATTTGTTAAACCAAATGCCCTTAAACTGCTAAAGAATGGTTACTGTTATTTGTTGTTTAAGAGTCACTTAAAGTGGAGGGTTACTAACTAAGGTTGCTGTATGGAGGAGGTAGGAACTGCAGATTAGAAAGGTATATAAAAACGATCATAGTTGACCCTAGACTTGAAGAGGTTATGATTTTACTGATCAGAGAAGCATCTCCTCAAAAATCTGTTCCATCAAGTATTGGTTATTGGGAAGAAGCTGTCCAAATGGAACTTCCATTTTACTAATGGAATATGTAGGGAATGGGATGATTCATTTCGGTGTATGCAGCATGGTGAGTTTTATCTGTGAAGGTCTGAACCAGTGGAACTAATGAATGTAGAACATTTGCCATGGAAATAATGAGTAGTGAGAGGTTTGAGAGATTTCATCTGTAGGGAAGGGGTGGTCCTGCTATTTATCTCATGGGGGAGTGGATTTTTACCTTTTTCAAGGGATTCTATGTGAAGTCAATCTGTTAACTTTGCTGAAACTATTGACCAATTCTTTTTTCTGTTCACCTCCATTATCTGTTAAGAATAGCATATAAAGTACACACACACACAATCAAAAGTCACAATTGATTTCTATTTTCTGGCTTATGTCAGAGGGTATCCCCCAGACAAGGCTCTGCCAAAGAGCAGTCTTGTCTCTAGAAACTGACTCCATTTTTACGTGATTTCTAGGGAATTTTTGCCCGAGCCTATGGGCTTGGATACCCCACTTTAAACTTGGCCTTGTGCCACATCTTGCTGCGTGGGGCAGTGGGTAAATAATTATTTTAGCAATAATCTGTAAAATATTAAGAGCATGACTTCTCAGAATCTGGGTGCTAGATTTGACTGTGTGTGTGTGTATATATATATATATATATATATATATATATATAAAATTATTTAGAATTCCCAGCATCCCTAGTCTGTGTACATGTGTAGTCATGCTAATTTAACAAATTTAGTGTGATGAAGTCTTAAAAGGCTAAATGTGTCACACAAAAACTTTTTCCTGCATTGTCATACATTTTCCTTATATATATATATATATATACATGATAAGATAAGGAACAATTCCAAAAACTTTATCATTGAGGATAAAATGATGTGGGTAGTGAAGAAGTCTAAATGTTTTTTCAATATATTTCTCTTCTTTATCCTCAATGATAAACATTTTGTGTTTGTTCCTTATCCTGTCATTATTGGATTCTAATCCATATTTAATCCCAAGTCATCTTGTCTGAACATAAAACAAAGACATTTCTTATTCAACTATACTGCTGAGAAAGCCATCTCCAAAAGCACTTATAAAGTACTCAAGACCACAACAGATACATGTGCAGAACTCAAACACCAAAAAGAGCTCAGAAATGACAAGGCTACATTGATTGACAATATGTAACCCAAAATACCTAGATGAAGAAGACTGAAGAAATATTTAGACTTCTTCACTACCCACGTCATTTCATCCTCAATGATAAAAATTTAGTATTTGTTCCTATTATTATCTCAGTTCTCATTCAGATTTGATCTCTATTTGATCCCAGTTCAATTATATATATTATCTTAAAGGCTGCTTGATTGGGTGGAATTTAAGCTAGCTACTGTAGTGGGCTCTTGATTGGGCCTTCGTCACAATAGGTATGGAGGAGTAGATGTGATAGGTAACAATAAACTACTACAGAAGAACTCAAAATTGAACATTGGATTTAAGTATTGCATTAATATTTAAGCTTACATTTTAAAAGTTCAATGATAATTCTTCTGCTGCCACTTAATTTAAAGTCTTTATTTTCTGTACAAACAACTATTTTTATTTCATGAGTGACTTTCACTGGACTTGCAATTAATTTTGATTATTCCCAAATTTATTTCCAAGTTATAAAAATTGGTATTGTCCAAAAAATTTGTCACAAAAAAAATCACCAATATCAATCGCAGTAATGAAAACTTGGGAATCCAAAATTTCAGGATTGTGGGTCTGGATCCAGCTCGGAATGATTTTAATTTGCTTACGGCGTTAGCCTGATTCCAAAATGGTATGAAATGTTGGGTTACAGCCTCTATGAATGAAGATGAAAAAGTGTGACACACTGACATTCACATTTATTTTATATAATGTTTGGCAACTTGTTACATGTGTATGACCAACACTGACAAGTTTATCATCTACCCAGGTTTGGGAATTCAGCTTTTCTCTTAGACTCATTTCCATTTAAGGCTGAAGAGCCCAGTCTGCCTTAATATTTATGAGCAGAGAAAATATTTATACCTTTCCCAAGGTTATTTGTGCCAAAGCGAATGCAAGGAAAGACTGCAGTTTGAACTCTGCTTTGTAATTTCTCATTTTAAACCACTAAACATTATACTGACTTCACATCCAATGACAATAGAGGTTGAGATTTTGGCAATACCTGTATTGATATTATAGTCATGTACTATTTCTCCAGAACTACAATGACTTACACCAACAATGCTAAGAATCCCAGAGACAAGCAGGTCCAAGATATCTGGATTAGAATTGAGTCAGGTGTTACTTCAGAGCTTTCCCTTTCCTACACATATACTTTATCAAAGGCTTGTGTTCCATCACTTCCAGTGCACCTGGACACCAACTTAGGTATTTCTACATCCCTGTGTATACATGCATATACACAATAGTGCTGAAAAGTTAATAGCTCAACCTATTTTCAAAAGTTGGACCAAACAGAAATTTCCAGCACCCCCTGGTGTATAGTAGTCCATTTCTTTCTAGCACCCCCTGGTGTATAGTAGTCCATTTCTTTCTAGCACCCCCTGGTGTATAGTAGTCCATTTCTTTCTAGCACCCCCTGGTGTATAGTAGTCCATTTCTTTCTAGCACCCCCTGGTGTATAGTAGTCCATTTCTTTCTAGCACCCCCTGGTGTATAGTAGTCCATTTCTTTCTAGCACCCCTGGTGTATAGTAGTCCATTTCTTTCTAGCACCCCCTGGTGTATAGTAGTCCATTTTTTCTTTTATAGTAGTCCACCCCCTGGTGTATAGTAGTCCATTTCTTTCTAGCACCCCTGGTGTATAGTAGTCCATTTCTTTCTAGCACCCCCTGGTGTATAGTAGTCCATTTCTTTCTAGCACCCCCTGGTGTATAGTAGTCCATTTCTTTCTAGCACCCCCTGGTGTATAGTAGTCCATTTCTTTCTAGCACCCCCTGGTGTATAGTAGTCCATTTCTTTCTAGCACCCCCTGGTGTATAGTAGTCCATTTCTTTAACAATAGGTTGTCATTTGCTTCTAAGTAGAGGTCAGATGCCTTCTTAAAAAAAAAAAAAAATGTGTAGCCTTTTTGCTTAATTAATTGTTATTAATTAAAATGATTTAATTGAGGATGGTCTGTGGTAGCAGAAAAATCAAAGCTCCTGAAAAGTCTTATCAAAAGTAGCAGTCGTTCTTTTTCTCTATAATTTCAAATAAATCTGTTTTGTTTAGGATTTATAATTATAATATTCAAATCAAATATGGTGGTAATATTAATATAATAAATAAATGATAAAAAAATATAGGCAAAAACACTTTTAAAAGTTGGTTTATCTTTCCAGTGACCTTAAACTTTACATTAATTTTGTTACAGAAAGTTGATCAAAACTTATAAGATGGCTGAAAATATGTGGCAAAATATTTGCATGCAATACTGATTTTTTTCATTTAGGATTTTATCTTCTACCAACCTCTTATTTGTTCTTTTTTGTAAAGACCAGCTTTGTCACTTTTAATCTGTCACTTTTAATAGCAGAAATTAATTTTAAAATAAGGGAGATATTTTATACATATTTTACTTGAAGTTATTTGTATTAACTTTTAAGGAAAATAGGAACAAAAAGGATACATACTATCAGAGAAAGAGTTGAAATTTCTAGAAAACAATGAGGAAGGAGGGTTTGGAAAATTTAACACTCACAGGATACAGTGAAGGCAACAGAGGTAGAGGGATTAGTGAGTAACCTACTTAAAGGGCTTGTGTAAGTGGATGGTAGAGTAGGCCTGAAACTGATGTCAAGAAGACAATCATCGCAAAGAACAGAAAGTTGTGGTGAACTATGAATATCAATATCCTGAAGTACATAAAAATTGTCACAAAGTTAAAAACTGTAGGGACATTATTATTATTATTATAATAAATAAATAAATAAAAATAAAATGATAATAATAATGAAAATTATAAATAAAATAACACGATAAAATAAAAACATTGTATAAAATAAATTAAATAAAAATTTAAAATAATAAAAATACCTCCAGCATGCAACAAAAACTGTTCTTGTCAGAAATACGGACATCCTGCCAAAAGACATTAAATTCAATCTCTTGACCACAAACTTTGGTGTGGGCAACACATGTCTGACTTTTCTCTGTAATATGGCTTCTAATACTACAGTGTAAATTCTCCCTTTTATCACATGTACCATAAAACAATTGTAACCTAAAAAAAATACACACAAAAAATATGAATAAATTATATGAAATTAACATACAATTTACCATGCTTTTCCTGTTATTTGTGTGTGTTTTATTTCCTGTCATGTATACTTTTTATATCTGTGAACACAAGGTTTTGGTGATTGCCGACATGTATAAGAAAAACAATTTTTTCGCCCATGAAGCATGCAAATTTTAAAAAAATTTCTAAGACTTTTTTTTTATAAGCATTTCACCCCAAGCAAGGCAGGAGTGCCACTCATGCACAAGGGGTTACAGAGAGTGAAAGAGAAAAAAACTGGGTATAGTGGGGATTGAGGAAAAGATAAAAAAAGAATGCAGATCAAGGCATCAGAAGATGTCGACTGACATTACATTTAAATTTTTGAAGATTATAGTTATCAAGGAAGCAAGTAAGAAGAAAAGACTTCCACTGTCAGTAAGTGTGAGAGAAGCTGTTGGAATAGCAGAGGCAGTTACATTTAACTGTTTCAACAGTAAAAGGCTGGGACCAAGATACCAACCTAATGGCATGCTTAAAATCATGCAGTCAAGGCACCAGTGAAAATTGCTTGTCAGAGCAGTTGCCTTGAAAATATTTGTAGAAAAGACAGAGGGAAGCCACATCACATCTGTGAGAAAGTGACTGGAGTCAAGATTTAAAGTCAGAACTGATCACATTACATATCTGTCTTTGGATTTTGTCAAGACCCTTGAGATGAACAGTGGGGGAACCAGACCATATATAACAACAGTATTTCATGTATGGACAAACAATTGATTTGTAGATGTGAAGGATGGAGTCAGATGAGAAAAACCTTCTGACATGATACACAAAATCAACTTGTGGTAGATATGTCTATAGATTCAATGTAGTTATTCCACCTCAAGTCAGTGGAAGACATTAGACCAAGAAGGTGCATTAAGACGCTCTCATGAAGTTTAGCATCAACCATACTGATAGGAGGCAGGCACATTTCTATATAGTGGTTAAATGAGAGCAATTTTGTTTTGGAGGCATTAAAATTTACAAGCCATTTCCTGCCCCAGTCAACCAAAGATTGGAGGTCCTTTTCAAGACTAATGGCCAGTATAATTTTGTCAGGCAGGAGACAATTTTGAGACAGGAGTAAATGGTAGTGTCATCAGTACAGATGCCTACTTGAGAACTGATGACATCGATGAAGATCAGAAACAGTGTAGGATCAAGGATAGAGCCTTGGGGAACACCAGTATTTGTATGAAAGGAACTGGAAGAGAACCCATTCAAGAGGACTGTCATTTAACGGTTTGACAGGAATGATTGAATTAAAACAAATAACCGCCCTGTAATACTGTATCCCTGAAACTTAGGTAGAAGGCTGACATGCCAAACCCTGTCAAATGCCTTCGATATATGTAGAGTCACTCATTATCAAGACCATACATATTCAGTTATGGCTGTAAGCACATCAGCAGTAGACTGGGAAAAATGGAAACCATATTGTTAGTTAGAGAGTAGATCATGGGAGGCAAGATGCTTGACCACTTCTGCATTGATTAAAGCCTCAAAGACTTTGCCAAAGAGAGGTAGGATACTGATAGGACGTTAGTTGAATGGGTCAGAAGGGTCTTCAGAGTTTTTAAAAACAGGGGTGACAGAGGAGGACTTCCAACAGGTAGGAATGCAAGAATCAGTGATGCAATAGTTGTATAATTTGGAGAGAACTGGTGCTAGATCAGGGGCACATTTCTTCAGGACTATAACTGGTATCCAGTCACTAACACTTGCTTTATGTGAGCCTAATTTAGAAATGATGTCTGATAACATTGATAGGGTTATGTACATCTCATTCAGCAGAGTGTCATTTCTAGGGGGGAAAATTTGGTTGGTACTCTGTATGAGTTGAGTGTTGAATTGGATGAAAATTTCCAAGCAAAGCATTCAGTTTTATCAGCTGTGGATGTTCAAATTGATTGGAGGAAGGAGTGAGGATTTGCTGTTGTTCAGCACATTCTTGCAGAGCCACCAATAATCTTTCAAAACAAACTTTCAAGATACAATTTGTTGTTTCATTCTATCAGCAAACAGTAACTTTGCTTCATTGAGGATATGTTTGCACTCATTACAAGCAGACACAAAGAGATGCCTGTTGCAATCAGACATGTTGCTCCGGTACAGACAGAGGAAGTAATTCTTATGGGTGACAGCAGCTGAGAAAGCAGCTGAGAAAGCAGGTGAGAACCAATGAGATGAGAGTGATTCAACTTGGTATTTTCTTGCTGGGATGAAAGCCTCGATGCCAGCTGTTTCTCAGGAGGAGATCTCAGACACCTATTTTTGAATGGAATGATTAAAAACCATGTTCCAAGGGATGTTGTGAAGGAAATCATGGAATGAATTCCAATCTGTGTGTTGATAACAGAAACATATTTTGTTAGTAGGAGGTTCATGGCTAGAGAAGTGGATGGAAGGGGATGTTAACAGATGCTGCAGCACGATCAGAGTTGCCAAGATGGCAGAGATACATAGTGCAACAAGAGTCAGGCATGGAAGTAAAACAGTAATCAAGAAGGGAAGTGTTACCATCAGGGTTACCTAGGGAAATGCATAGGAAAGTCAACCACTTTAATGAGGGATTGAGTGATTGAAAAGTTAAGGGTTTCAGTTATGTGATACGGTCGGTGTTAAAGTCATCGGATATAAATATGTTTGCAAATTGATGTAGTTTTTATGGCTTTGTCTATATTATCGAAAATGCTATTGAGTACACAAGTCTTGAGAAGAAGAGGAATGGTAGAGAAAGAAGAGATAGCTTACTGAATTGAGTGACAGAGGGAGACACATATATGAATGTTCCGGAGATTCCAAAGAGAGTTCCCTAGTCAACAAGAGATGATCGCAGACATAAGCTCCCAGGCCATGCATATGGATTTTAGAGTCCTTTCTAAGGAGAGGAAGGTAGTCAGGAATCAAGAAAGCTGAGGAAAGGATTGACGAGTTAAGGTTAGTTGTGCAGAGAGCTAGTATATCAGGAGACTTATCAAAGAGGAATGATTCCACACTGAAGAAGTTGGTACAAATACCATAGATATTGTAGAAGAAAATGTTAAAGGGTTTAGGTGATTTTGTTCAAGCTAGTTTATATTTATATTTTTGATTGCTTATGGTCATGTTGAGTTATTTTGGTAAGGAAAGGGCCTAATGTAATAGTAGCAGTCAGTTATCATATGTAACATGAGTAGAAAGGAATTGGTGCAGACTGCAACATAATGCGGCCTTGGGGTTGCCTACTAGAGGTGCATTCAGAGACACCCATCCATGTGCAATATGGTACTGCAACTGAGTTTGGGCTCCTAATTACCAGTCAGGAACAGCAACCAGAAAGCTGCCAACCTGGTACCCTCAGCATGAAGAGAAGTTGCCACAAACCATACACATCATAAGTGATTCACTACAGTATTACTACTAAGGCCAGAGAAAAGGAAAGGATCTGGGAACCCCTTTTTAAAAATGAAACAAGGTATAAGCCTCTATTCTTCTTCAAAAGAAGGGAGAAGAGTAGTGACCAGGCAATAGAAAGCTTATCTTCTTCTATTAAAAAAGCCCCCAAAAAACAAAATGACAAACAAAACAAACAACAATGGGCTTGGCATCCCTAATTTATTACAAAGAACAAGTTTCAATCAGAAAACTCAACTGGAGAGCCAAGCTGGGAGTTATGTACGTATAGATTGCTTATGAGGTAGAGGGTTGACTAAATGACACTTTGGGATGAGAGTGTAAAGGGAGATGCTTGTGTATTCACTACACTCAACTATATAGATAGATACAGGAGAAGCATCTGAATTGCTGGGGAGTATGGATAGGGAATCTGAAACTGAAATATAAATATAAAGTTTTGACTTAAAGTTCAACATTCACTTCTTGCTGAAGAGAACACTCGAATGTCCATGAGCCATGATTAAAAATAACATCCGATACTTGTACAAACCAGACAAATCACCAAGGACTTAAGATTCAAAGTTTTCAAAGGTAAAATAAATTCAATTAAAAGAAGAAAAGAAAAGTTAATACCAAGGAAAGCATATACATACACTTGAGAGAAAGAGAGTGAATAAAATAAAATAATTAGAGAATGAAATTGAAAGTGATACGTACAAGACTTAAATTTAAAAAAAAAAAAGAATTAAAACTTAAATATTTTGATTGGTTTAAAAATTTTTATTCTTGTTGACTTATTCTGTCTTTAAATATTTTTTTAAGTTGATGGCATTTTTCCGTTTCTATTTGTCTTAGGAATCAGAATGCCCTTCCCATTTTCTTGATTTGATGACACTTTGCTGGTCACAAGAACCCAAAGATCGGCCATCGATGGAGGACATCATCACCTTGGCCAGTTACCCAGAGTTTTCACATTTTATGGATGCTATTTCGCTGGAGGCTGCAGTTGTTGTCCTGGCTTCATGTGTTTTTTTCTATAACAACACTGAAACGTCAGTCTATGGTAAGTGATCTGTGGATATATTTAATAAAAATATTACATCTTATCAATGATACTGGATGGCAATCCTTCAAAGCAATTTAGTATTGTTTTTAAACTGAATAAGAAATCAACAATGGTTTTTCTTGTGTTTATCAGCATCTAGATGTATTAGTTTAGAAGAAAATGGCATATCTGTAGGTGTTGATAAAAAAAAAAATATACAGAAGTGTTGATACCCTCCACTTCCCCCACACAGACAGAGGTACTGAGGCTACCTCCTTTCTTACTCTCTCCTGCATATGGAGGTGTTGAGACCTCCCTGGCTCCTCTTACAGCATATACAGGTACTGAAGTCTCCACCACCTCTGTTCCATCTCCTGATATATGTCCATGTTGAAGCCTCCCCCTCGCTGTTTCCATCCTGACATATGTTCATACTGAAGCTTCCTACTCCGGACATATGTCTGTGCTAAAGTTCCCTGCTCCCCAACATGACTATGCTAAAGTTCTCTGCTCCACCCTCGACTCATGACCATAGTGAAGCTAAGCTGTGACATATAGTGGTGCTAACTACTTATGACATATCAGTGTTGATTAAAAACATGAAAGTCTTGATAAAACCCGAGTGTACATTTTATTAAGATATGGAGTATAACTTACAAATTTTTAAAGAACTGATTACATATTTTCTTGCATATCAATGCTACTAATTACTAATAAGTGCAAGTGAATTAGACTTTCTTAGAATGTTCAGAAAGATGGCTCTGTCTATTATATATTTGGATGTACAAAAATATATTAATTCTTGGCATGATGTTGCATATTAGTGTTTATCTGATAAGTAATCATCTAAATAATTACATATGTAATTTCATACATTGCATTTTGTGGTGAACAAAACTATTGCAAATTAGATGAAAATGAAAAGTCGACATATTGTCTGTTAATAGTGCATCTCATGATTGCATCTAATGCCGGTGCTTGTCAATGTAAAAGAACCAATGTTTGAAGTTTGTTTTGCAGTTTTTCTTTTTTTCTTTCTGTCTGTGTTATTCATTGTCATTATTAGGCGCAGGTGAAAGTTTCCTGTGTCACCTTTCTGCATAATGTTAAGAAAATCTTAGAAGTGTCTTTGAGTTTGTCTTGACTCTTTTATTGCTTCTGCAATCATTTGTCTGTAGTTTATTTACAAACCATAAGAAAAATTGATGAGCAAGAACCAGTGCCATATGATGTTATAGGGCAATTTCTATAGATATTTTATTGTCATAAGCTTATTCAATCATTAACTTATGAGTTAAGATTCATCATAAAATTCAAATAGAAAAACTAAAATTTTCAGAGGTATTTCTAGTAACTGGTATTGTTCTTTCCTGAGAAATCTATAATTGTCACTGGATTTTTATTTTAATTTTTATAATAAGGATCAGACTTTTATGGTGGACATATGTTAAAGATAATTAATTCCTTATTATACAGGGTGCAGCAAAATGATCTGATACTTTTTTTGTTTAATAAAAGTGAAATAGTGTACAGAATGAAAAAATGTGTTTTTATTTTCATAATGTCTATATAATTCCATTTTGTTTCATTCCTTTTTAAAAGACTTAAATCGATCAAGTGAGTGCTGTTACTTTCCAACCACTGTTGAAGGCGTTCATGAAAGTTGACCATAACTTGACAGGTCATTTCATGTGGAATGGCAACAATTTCTTGATGAATGGCATTTTTTATTGTTCAATTGATTCAGAGCAATGAGTGTATACCTTTGATTTCAGTTATTCCCACATAAAAAAATTGCATAGGTTCAAATTAGGTGATTGGGCGGGGGCCAATGCTCTTTGTGCTGCAATTGCTGATTTGTTATTCTTCATAAATGCTTCCACAATGAAAACTCAATGCTCACCCATCCAATTCATGTTGGCAACTGAAAAGAAAATGAAACAAAATGGCATTATATGTACATTTCAAAAATAAAAACACATTTTTCGTCCTTTACTCTATTTCTCTTTTATTAAATATACAAATGTATCAGATCATTTTACTGCACCCTGTACCTTGCTGGAGCTTTGTCAATCTATTGTTGCTACAATGAGATTGTTTAAATGATGCATTGAAAGAGAAATAGACTTTTTCCTGGAAGTTGGCCAATGATTTTGTTGCCTGACAATGTGTTATGATTATGAAACTGGAAAATGAAGTTCTTCCATGTGTTATATTCTATAGAACTGTCATTTTCAGATTATAACATGCAATGCTCCTTGTCTGGTTCCAACAATTTCTATATATTGAAAAATTACTTGAAGAATTCATCAACTTAATCCTAGAATTGTCCTTTTCTGATAGAACACCTGAATTAATTGAAGCATTACATATTGTCGCTGTAAAACTGTTGAAAATACTTTGATGACCCAATAATAGTAATATAATAACTGTTTCTTTATAAGGAAACATTTGGCATTCATTAAATGAGAAAGCAGTGCGATCGTTGGTTGAAATTTGTTAAATCTTTCTATTAACACAATTTTTCATGAAAATAGTTTTTTTTTTAAGTCCAGTAACTGTTATTGCTCTTTTCAATATTGATGGAGGTTTTCTTCCTAACTTTTTGTTTAAAGTATTGTGGAATGTCAGCATTTTGGTTATGTCATTATTTTCTCTTTGAGTTACATATGCTGTCCATTTTAGTAGTTGCTGTTGTTGAAAGTCGTCAAGTGATGTGGTTTCTGCTATTTGGGAAAGTTCTTTGTGGTTCTGTAGCACCAGTTCACAAAGATTGGAGAAGTATGATGACATGTACTATCCATTGTAATTGTTGCTGTTTATGAAAGTCCTCATGTGAGATAGTTTCTGCTATTTGGTAAAGTACTTTGTTTGGGATTCTATAGCACCAGCCCATGAGGTTTGAAGAAAGATGGTCCTTGCTAAGACCTACATGCTTCCTTTGCTTAAAGTCATTTTTAATCATTGATCTGAGAAAGTGGTTGTATACAGGTGAAAGTTTAGTTATTTCTGAGGTAATCTGAAATCGTGCATGATTTCCACATGAAAGTCTGGACCTGATGAAGCTATTTATGAACATGTGAATTTTTAGGTTAATATTTTGTAGCAAATTGCGATATTGTTTGAAATTATCCCTAGCACAGCTTATTGGGTGATTAATTTCCTTATCTTTTGTACTAAATTTGCTTATTGCATGTAAATTAATTTCCTTGTCTTTTGTACTAAATTTGTTATAATTGATATGCATGTAAATTAATTTCCTTGTCTTTCATACTAAATTTGCTATAATTGGTATGCATGTAAATTAATTTCCTTGTCTTTTGTACTAAATTTGTTATAACTGATATGCATGTAAATTTTACAAAAATTTCCTTGTCTTTCAAAATAGTTTAAATTTGTAAACATTATCACTGGTTTGCATGTATGTAAATTAATTTCCTTGTCTTTTAATATTACTAAATTTGTTATAACTGATATACAAAATAGTTTAATATTAAGTAAACATTTTACAAAAAAATAGTTTACATACAAAATAGTTTAATGTATAATATTAAGTAAACATTTTACAAAATAGTTTACATGTATGTAATATTAAGTAAAAACAAAATTTTACATGTAAAATAGTAAACATTTTACATGTATGTAATATATTAAGTAAACATTTTACAAAATAGTTTACATGTATGTAATATTTAAACATTTTACAAAATAAAACATTTTACAAAATAGTTTACATGTATGTAATATTAAGTAAACATTTTACAAAAAATATGTAATATTAAGTAAACATTTTACAAAATAGTTTACATGTATGTAATATTAAGTAAACATTTTACAAAATAGTTTACATGTATGTAATATTAAGTAAACATTTTACAAAATAGTTTACATGTATGTAATATTAAGTAAACATTTTACAAAATAGTTTACATGTATGTAGTAAACATTTTTTACATTTTACAAAATAGTTTACATGTATGTAATATTAAGTAAACATTTTACAAAAAATAGTTTACATGTATGTAATATTTTACAAAATAAACATTTTACATTTTACAAAATAGTTTACATGTATGTAATATTAAGTAAACATTTTACAAAATAGTTTACATGTATGTAATATTAAGTAAACATTTTACAAAATAGTTTACATGTATGTAATATTAAGTAAACATTTTACAAAAATAAATGTATATTAAACATTTTACAAAATAGTTTACATGTATGTAATATTAAATAAACATTTTACAAAATAGTTTACATGTAAAATAGTAAACATTTTACAAAATATGTATGTAACATTTACAAAAAGTAAACATTTTACAAAATAGTTTACATGTATGTAATATTAAGTAAACATTTTACAAAAATAGTTTACATGTATGTAAAAAGTAAACATTTTACAAAATAGTTTTATGTATGTATGTAAACATTTTACAAAAAGTAAACATTTTAAACATTTTACAAAATAGTTTACATGTATGTAATATTAAGTAAACATTTTACAAAATAGTTTACATGTATGTAATATTAAGTAAACATTTTACAAAAATAGTTTGTATGTAAACATTTTACAAAATTTATATGTAAAATTTTGTAAAATGTTTACTTAATATTACATTTCTTATTTCTTGGTTTCTTTTTTTCTACTGATATCTTAAATTCTTTGACAGAAAATCTTCGTGATGTGGATGGATCGTACACACAGCTGTGGTTGAGTACACGCCTTGCTGATAAAAACATGGTTGAAGTTTATATTTTCTACAGAAACAAGTGTGTTGAGAGTAAGGTAAGTCAGTAAGCATTTTTTTTTCTCTACCAAACAAACTGTTACTTACATGTTTTAAATACTGTGAGCAATTTTTAGAGAAAATGAAAAAAAAATTACCTTTATATTTAACATTGGAAAGAGAAAGTTGAAATTTCAAGGGTACGTAATGAGGAAAGGGGGTGTTGGGATACTCACAGGACATACCAAAGGCATGAGGGACAGAAATAAAAGCACTACCTAGTGAATTTGAGTCAATGAATGTCAAAACAGGGTTTAGGAGAGATAAAGAAAGAAAAAAAAAAAAAAGAAAAAAAAGACAAAATTTAGTAAGAGCTACAAAGGACAGGAGAGCCATGATCACCAAACTTGAAGGAACATGGCACATACAAGAAGAGCAAATGATATATTTTATATACTCACTGGTATGTTATGCAGCTTTTAATATATGTGTATCTTTATTTGTTTGTCTTTTAATTGATTTTTAGCTGTAGACAGTTTATGGCTGAAAGAAATGATCTTAGCCATTATATATGGAGATAATTTTTTTTTCTTCAGCTTTTTGGAATTGCCATTGAGAGGTAATAAAGATTCTACTTTAAGACATTTTTTTTTTTTGTTTGGCCAATATCAAAATGTAAAATTTTTCTTATGCTGTGGCATATAACAAAACAGAGGCTTTTAGTGATGCACATATGTGCGCACAAAGTTATTTTACTATAATACTGTTTTATTAACAGTGATGATAATAGTAAAATAAACCATTTCCATAAAAGAAACATTTGGCATTCATCGACCAAACAGCATTACTGCTGGTTGCAATTTATAAAAAAAACTTGGAGTTTCCTTGTAAATTTTTTTTTTTTTTTTTTGTAGTATGGAATATTAACAACTTTAGGGCAGAAAGTGTGACACTGAAATCTGAAGGTGCATTGGGATAGTGAAAGATGCCTACCAAAAGCTAAGCAAAGTATTAAGAAATAAAAAAAAAAAATATTATTAGAAACAAAGAAGAGTATTGAACTGTTGCATAATATCACTCCTCCTATATGGCTAGTGAATGGTGAACAATCTTCTCACAGATGAAGAAGAGACTTGAGGCAACATAAATGTGGTTCTGCTGAGAATACCATGGACTGAACATGTGACCAATGACAAAATTTTAGGGAAAATGGAAATAAAAAGGACATTTATATGTAACCTCAGAAAGAGAGTTGAAATTGCTAAGGCACTTAATGAGGAAAGAGAGCCTGGAAAATTTGGCACTCACAGGGCATAGTGAAGGCAAAAGGGACAGAGGAGAACAATGCATAATCTACCTGAAATTCAAAATTTATTTAGAGCTACAAAGACAAGAAGTTGTGGAGAGCTATGATCGGCAATGTCCTGAAGGGACACAGCATACAGACGAAGTTGAGGCATTTTCCTAAACACTCAGTCATTTTATAAATAAAAGTTAATAAGTTAAATTTATTATTAGTATTCCATTGCTGTTTCCAACATTTAAACAGGAGCCTAGTTAAATGAATTGGTAATTGTGTTAATGCAGCACCAACAGAACACAATTGGGAAAATGAAAGTGGTGGGGGGGAATTAAAAAGAAAAATCTATCAGGAAATCTTTGATAAGGAAGCTGATGCTTTGAATCCAAAGATTTCTTGTGTTTGGAAGGAAAATTCACAATTTAATGCAATTAAATCTTAATTTCTCTGAGTCGTTGTTGGAATTACAATGTTAAACAAATTTGTTCAGTTAACTCTTTCATTTGGTCTGAATTTGAAGAATAAAATCAGATTTTAAATCTTGGTGAATGTTGATAAATTTGAAATTATTCTATCCATTTTAAAACTTTTTATTTTTTTTAATTTTCAAACCTGACTTGAGAACATAAATTTATACTTGACCAATGCATTAACCTTTTGAATTTATTTTGAATATTGTGATGCATATTGAGAAGTGTTTTCCTTTCAGAGAATGAATAAGACTGGCCTTTTGTTTTGTTTTTTTTCTAACATTGTCTTATTTTAAATTTATAAATAGAAGTAAAAATAATATTTCTGTATATTTATCAAACCAGAGGAGAAAACGGAAAAAAAATGATATTTATTTTGTTATGGTCAATCATGGTAGAGGATTACTAAGTGTGATTGCTGTAAAGAAGCAAGAAAAAATAAAATATTATTATTAGTAGGATAGAAATTGGTTGCCTAAGATTGTATTTATCAGAAAAGAATTCTCTTAGGGATTTGTTCAACAAAGTAAAAGTTTTTGGGGAAAAAGCTGTCTGAGTTGAACTTGCTTTTTATCAAAGGAACATCAAGAGAATGAGGATGGCTTGTGATAGTGATATAGCAGTTAAAGGCTGGTAACATTTTGTTTGTGATATAAGAGTTGCAGGGTAGAGAATAATTCATCACTCACAAGGCTGTGCAAGTGATTTTGAACTCTGTTGAAGCTGGACAGTGAGGATTGGGCAATTCTTCATTCTTGGTCTAATCTGAATTTTTGTGCCTAATCAAAATTTGTGATAGAATCATTTTTTTAAGCTTATTTGTGAATGTAAGTCTTTACAACAAATGGTTTTGACTTTATTTCTATTTCATTAAACATTTATGAACACACTCGCCAGGATATTTTATTGAAAATGTTTTTTCTCTGTTGATCATTACAAACATGTAGCCAAAAAGTCTTTTCAAATACAAATTAAATTGCATGATTTTTTTTGTTAAGAGTAACGGCCATAGAAATAAGATTAAATTATTAAATTTATATTAATTTGATTTTATTGAGTTACAATTCCTATGAGGTATGGACTTGAACATTTGAGCAATGACAAAGTTTTACAGAAAATTGAGACAAAGGACATTTACGCTTAACATTAGAAAGAAAGAGTTGAAATTTTTAGGGTACATCATAAGGAAAGAGGGTTTGGAGAATTTGACTCTATTGGAGGCAAGAGGGACAAAGGAAAGTGGTTCATAACCTACCTGGTGAGTTTGTGTAAATGGATGGCAGAACAGGGTTTTGGTGAGAGAATAAAAAAGAAAAAAAAATTTTTTTTTTTTTTTTTTTAAGAACAATGTTCATCCTGTAAAAGGCCTAAGAGCAACTCAATATAGAATGTTAGAGATTAAGAAATGGTGTGGGGAAATAACTGTTAATTTTTGTTTGGTTAGATGGATGGCAGAATAGGATTTAGGAGAGATACCAAAAAGAGAAAGTTTATGAAGAGTTACAAAGGACAGGAAATAATGGAGAACTATAATCACCAAATGGACATGGCACATAGAAGAATATGAGTTTCTCTTTAAATCAATGATGGAATCTTTAATGTATATTTTATTTGAATACAGCTGTTATATAGTGAGCTTTGTTTGAAGATTATACTTTCTGCCCTATGCTATCAGCATGAATACAAATAAATTTCCAAATTGTAGACTTATTTTGACCTAGTTATATGCTTTTTTATATATATATATATATATATATATATATATATATATATATATAATAAAAATATAGTTTTAAGGTATGCTATATTTAGTTAAAGGGCTCAATATCAAGGATAAAATGTATGTAAATAGAAAAGTGGTCATTGAGGTAAGCATGAAACAGACTATTGCTGCTGGGTATTGACCTCAATGTCCACTTTTATATATAGATACAAGCAGTGGTTCATTTTGTTTTAAATGATTATTTTTTTTGCAGAAAAATTACTGACAGATGATTGTCTAGAAGTGTTAAAGATTTGTATTCCAGAAAATGTTATTGATCTTGTAATTTCTTTGAAAAATTATTGGTTTGAAATTTCATGTCTGATACTTGTTGCAAATTGCTATATATGTAGCTGTGTGTATAGTCAACTTTGACCTTCAAAAATTTAAATGCAATATCAGTCATTATCTTCTGTCTTAATTCTTGTTTTTTTTTTTTAATTTTCTATCTCCTAAATACTGTTTTGTTTTTCTCTTATTTTACGACATTCAGTAACCACTTGCTAGGGGTGAAATGATTAAAAAGAAGTTACCTCGAATATCCCAGTATAAGTAATTTAAGCTTGGTACATATTCTAGTGGTGTGCAGCGTCTAAATAAATGTTAACCTTTTTCTTTTTATGTATTCTGTTGCTTCATTTCTCTCCACAACTTCCTATCTTCTAAGATATATTTATTTTCTTACTATCCCTCCCTGTTCTGCCATCTTTTTATACAACCTTGTTTGGTAAGTTACTTGCTATTTCTCTCTACCTCCTTGCTATCAATTACTTTTGAGTATCAAATTCTCCAAGCCTTATTTACTCGTAATGTGTGCTGTAGAAAGTTCAACTTTCTCTTTTTGATTATAAGTACTTTTAATTTCCATTTTCATTAAAACTGCCTCATTGGAAACTTGTTTTATCCCTGTATTCTCAGGATCTTTCTACAGAATTACATGCATCTGTGTTGCATCAAGCCTCCTCTTCATTTATGAGTAAACTGTCTATCATTCACTGCCATATACAAGGGTTGATATTACATTGCAGCTTAACACATTTTTCTTTATTTTTAATGAAACTGGCCAGTTTTTTAAGAGTTTTTTTTTTTTTTAAACTTTTGGCAGGGATCTCTTGCTATACAATGTAGATTCTGTGCCACATTTTCCTGTCATCAGTTAAACATTTTCAAGGTAGATTGCTGTACTTGCTTCATTCTGACACTTTTGCTAATGACCATACATTCTGTCTTCTTACAATTGATGGTTAGTCCTTTCTTCCTGCTTTCCTTCACTGCTTTGTCTAGAAATTCCTGCAGTTTTTTTTGTATCTGCCATCAACACAATATCATCTGCATATTTTATGTTGTCTAGATTGTATTGCCTGATCATAAATGCCAGTCAGATGTCTAGTTCTCTTAGGCTCACTTCATTGAAGATTAGTATTACACAGCAGTTCAGCATTCTTTTCTTAGTTTCTCATGAAATTTTTATGTTTCTTAAAGCTTTGTTTTGCTTTTGAAGGACATCTTTTACTATTCCAGTCTCGTTCAGATTTCATT